TCCAGGCACCACATAATTTTATGTATTTAAGATACATGACTTGATTTTTATATTTGTAAACATTTTCAAATAATCATCACAATCAAGTTAAAGTATCTATCACCTTACGTAGTTACCTTTATTTTTTCTTTTTTTCTTATTGTGTTGTTAGTCACCATACAGTATATCATCAGTTTTTTTTTAAGGATTATTTATTTATTTATTTGACAGAAAGAGATACAGAGAGGGAGGGAACACAAGCAGGAAGAGTGGGAGAGGGAGAAGTAGGCCTCCTGCAGAGCAGGGAGCCCGATGTGGGCCTCAATCCCAGGACTCTGGGATCATGACCTGAGCCAAAGGCAGATGCTTTACGACTGAGCCACTCAGGTGCCACATTGTTAGTTTTTTATGTAGGGTTCCATGATTCATTGTTTGCGTGTAACACCCAGTGCTCCGTGCAATCCTGGTCTTCCTTAATACCCTTCACCAAGCTCACCCTTTATTTTATAGTGTGAACATTTCAGATCTGCTCTCTTAGCAAATTTAAAGTATGCAATAAAGTATTGTTAACTGTAGTGACATTGGTGTACATTAGATCTCCAGAACTTATTCTTCTTACACAAAGGAAACTTGTACAGTTTGACCAACACTGTGCAAGGATTTCTTTTTTTCTGCAAACTCACCAATGCCTGTTATATATTACCTTTTTGATAATAGCCATTCTATCAGACATGCGGTGGTATCTCCCTGTGGTTTGCATCTGCATTTCCCTGGTGATTCGTGATATTGAGCATCTTTTCACATACTTGTTGGCCGCATAGGTGCTTTCTTTGGAGAAATGTGTATTCTGGCCCTTTGCCCACTTTTTCATAGAGTCATTTCTTTTGTATTGTTGTTATTATTATTACTGAGTTTTAGGTGTTCCTTGCTTATTTTGGATATAACTTTTTAACAGATATATGGTTTACAAGTATTTCCTCTCATTCCATAGGTTGTCCTTTCATTTTGCTGATTTTTTCTTTTGCTCTGAAGAAGATTTTTATTTGACATAATCCCACTTACCTGTATCTTTGCTTCTGTAGCCTTTGTTATGGTGTCATATCCAAAAAAAATCTTCCATTTCATGCAAGAATTAATTGTGGTTTTCTCATGTTTACTATTGGTCTCTCTGTTTATCTTTGTGCAATACCACACTCCTTTGATTAATGCAGCTTTTATAAGTTTTGCAACCAGGAAATATGAGTCTTCCTGCTTTACTCCTTTTTAAGATTGTTTTGGCTGTTCAGGGTCTTTGACTTTCCATATGAATTTTAGAATGGGTTTTTCTATTTCTGCAAAAAAGAAGTCATTGGAATTTTGATTTGGATTATATTGAGTCTGTAGATCACTCTGGGTAGTATCAACATCTTAACAGCAGTTAAGTCTTCCAATCCCTGATCATAGAGTATGCTTCCATTTATTTATGTCTTCTGTATTTTCTTTCTGCAATGTTTTTTCACTTTCATTTTACAAGTCTTCTATCTCCTTGGTTAAGTATTTGATTCTATTTGATGCTGCTATAAATGGAACTGTTTTTTCTTAATTTCCCTTAAGGATTGTTCATTTTTAGTGTATAAAGGCATCTAATCTTTGTGTGTTGACTTTGTATCCTGCTACTTTCCTAAGTTCCTTTGTGGTCTTAATTTTTGTTGACTCTTTAGAATATTCTACATATAAGATCCTAACCCTTGAGAAGAGAGGTGTTTTTTCTTCTTCTTTTCCAAGTTGGAAATTTATTTATTTCTAATTCTTGCCTAATGTCCTGACTAGAAATTCTAGTGCTGTGTTGAATAGAGGCTATGAGAGTGAGTGTCCTTCCCCTGACCCTGAACTTTGAGAAAGAGCTCCCAGATTTCAAGCACAGCTTTTATTCTGTTGAGGTAGTTTCCTTCTAGTCTTATCCTGTTGAAATTTTTATCATAAAAGGATGTTGAATTTGGTCCAACTCTTTTTCTTAATCAATTGGCATGAGTGTGTGTGTGTGTGTGTGTGTGTGTGTGTTTCCTTCATTTTATTTATGTGGTATGTTACTTCGGTCAGTTTCATATGTTGAGCTACCCTTGCATTCCAGGAATAATCTCACTTTTTATAATCCATTTAACATGCTGCTGTATTTCATATGCTAGCATTTTGTTGAGGATATTTGCATTAATATTCATTAAGGGTATTGGTCTATAGATGTCAATTCTTGTAGTGTCTCTGTCTGCCTTTGGTATTGGTGTAATGATGGCCTCAAAACCTGAGTTAGGAACTGTGCCATACTTTTACATTTATGAAAAAGCTTGAGAAAAACTGATGTTAATTATTCCTTAAATGTTTGGTAGAATTGACCAGTGAAGTCATGAGGTCAAGGACTTTTCTTTACGGGGAGATTTATAGTTATTGATTCAATGTCCTTACTAGTCATAAATCTATTCAGATTTTCTATTTCTTCATGATTTAGTCATGGTAAGCTTTGAATTTCCAGGAATTTATGCATTTCTCTATGTTATCCAATTTGTTGACATTTAACTGTTTGTAGTACTCCCTTATAATCTTTCTTATTTCAACAGAAATGGTTATAATATCCACACTTCATTTCTGAGTTTTGACATTTTTTAAAAAGATTTTATTTATTTATTTGACAGACAGAGATCAAAAGTAGGCAGAAAGACAGGCAGAGAGAGGAGGGAGGAAGCAGGCTTCCTGTCGAGCAAAGAGCCCGATGCGGGGCTCTATCCCAGGACCCTGGGATCATGACCTGAGCCGAAGGCAGAGGCTTTAACCCACTGAGCCACCCAGGTGCCCCAAAATAATAATATCTTAATACTTTCAAATGTCCAACCAATAGCTCAATTTCCCACATTGCGGGCAAGGATTATAACACAGATTCACATTAAAAATGTAAGATAAATCAGAAAAGACAATTATTATATTATCTCTCTGATATGAGGAATTTGAAAGGCAGGGCAGGGGGCCGTGGGGGGTAGGGAGAGAGAAATGAAACAAGATGGGACCGGGGAGGGAGACAAGCCATAAGAGACTCTTAATCTCAAGAAACAAACTGAGGGTTGTTGGGGGGTTGGGGGGAGGAATAGGGTGGCTGGGCTATGGACATTGGGGAGGGTATGTGCTATGGTGAGTGCTGTGAATTGTGTAAGACTTATGATTCACAGACTTGTACTCCTGAAGCAAATAATACATAATATGTTAATTTAAAAAATGTAAGATACAGCCCTGTGATAAAGTTAGTAGATACAGTTGCTTCATTCTGAAAAACTTACCTTGCAATATCCTTTTATCAATTAAAAGTAGTGATGGATGATATAGACAGTTTATTCTCTGTGTAACACACAAAATAAAATTTTGTAGAGCTCTGTTTACCATTGTATTAATTATAAAGAACTCTTTTTCATTGCTTTTTTCCAACTGAGAGCATAATATCTAACAAGCTTGTTAAAGTGTACATAATATTCTGAAAAGTGTGACACTTCCCAAACTCCACAGCCTTACTATTCCAGGAAATGATCACAAAAGTATATATATAGATAGATAGATAGATAGATAGATATAGTGAGGAAACATCTCTTGGTAACTCACCCTGCTTACCCCTACTTTAAAATCAATTTTTTCCGGGGACAGGTGCATTTTTCTAGTTGGGCATCAAAGCCTGTAGATAATCTCTTTTGGACAGGCATCTTGGCTGAAGATATTTTTCCCAGGAAATTACCATTTTCACACTTGTTCTGGTAAAACTCTCCAGAAGTTCTCTTATTCATTCACAATTCTCCTTTCATCTCTTCCATTTCTTTGTGAGATGAACATGAATTAAAATATTGGGCTCTGCATCATTGGCTGAGTAATCTTGAGCAAGTTGCATAATTATTTCCTCCTCCAAAGAACAGGTTAAAGAGACTTATCTTTTAATATAATTTGTAAAGAATGTGGCATATGTATGGGCTACAGATTTGATATGACCAAAGGGAGGAATCAAATTATATAGTGAAAGAATAAATCTCAACAGGACAAGGTTTTTGCCATATATTTTTGTTTGTCTTTTGAAAGCAGGTACAGATCTTCCTTTGCAAAAGGGAATCCCTGTTAACACAGGCAAACAAAGAATCTTGACATTGTTCATGACACTCTATTCTGTAGTCAAGAATATTATTGTGTGATTTTTTAATCACAATCACAATCCATGGGTACATAGACAAGTGGTAGCAATTTCAATTCTACTTATGACAAAATATCAGTTCACCACTACTGAGTGGTATTCATTATTAGTGGGGATTGAAAAGGTGAGCAGAATAGTGTGGCTCATTCATTCCCAAGCATTCTCAAGAATAAAAGAAAGAAGCTAGGTTTAACAGAGTATTCACTTCTTCTACTTATATGGAACTAAAAATCAAGAACAAGAACCATTATTAAAAGAACGCTAAAATTTTCTGCAGTTTTTTTTTACCACTATACTGTGTCCACAATTTTTGTCATACCTTCTCTGTTTTAATGCAATTATAAGTAATAAAACCCTCAAAACAGGAAAGCGCACTGTGTAATTGTTTCAGAGAAAGCAAAAAAAAAAAAAAGAAGAAAGAAAGAAAAAGAAGGAAGGAAGAAAGAAAGAAAGAAAGAAAGAAAGAAAGAAAGAAAGAAAGAAAGAGGTAAGACATCACGCTACTTAATGGCTTACCTTGGATGGAATAGACAAGAGAAAAAATAATAGGTAGTATTATCCTTAGATAGGGGAGGTTATCCTAATGTCTTCAACTCATATGGGGAATAAAGATCAGTTTGGATTCACCTTGGAATGGAGGATGACCCTCATGTCCAAGAATAGGTCCACATGTTAAACCAAGTAAGAAGAGAAGAAAGAAATTGAAGTAAAAATCCTGCCAGAAAGACTTTAGAAAGGTAAAGAAAAGGAAAAAGAATAGGAAGAAGAGGATAAGGAAGCGCAGAAAGTGGAGAAAAAGACACAACAAAGGAGAGATAGATGGTTCTTCTCAGTTTGAAAATCTCTTCAGGGTTTTCCTCAGAGCAAGTTTGATATCTTTGTTCCTGAGACTATAAATGAAAGGGCTGAGCATAGGCACCACATTTGTGTAAAACACAGAAAAATTTCCCTTGGCCCACAGACCCAGTGGATGGTGGTTTGACGTAAGTGAGCAACCCAAATCCATAGAACAGACCAACAGTTACTAGGTGGGAGCCACAGGTGCCAAAGGCTTCGGACAAACTCTGAGATGCAGAGATGTGAATGATATTGGAAAGAATCAGAATATAAGAAATACAGATAATGAGACTAGATATAATGACAACTGTGCCCACAATAACAGAAATCACAAGCTCACTGGCATAGGTGTTGCTGCAGGAGAGCTGGAAGAGAGGGAACATGTCACACATGTAATGGTTGATGATATTGGAATCACAAAAGATCAGTCTAACCATGCACCCCATGTGGACCATGGCACCAGCAAACCCCATCACATATGAACCAGATATCAGCAGAGAACAGACCTGAGGAGACATGGTAACTGTGTACAGCAAGGGTTTATAGATGGCCACATAGTGATCATAGGCCATGGCTGTCAACCCATAGCACTCAGAGTTGACAAAAAAGCAGAAGAAAAATAGCTGAGTCATGCATTCTGTAAAGGAGATGATGTTCTTCTCTGAAATAAAACTTATTAGCATTTTGGGGGTGAAGACAAATGAATAACAGAGATCTATAAAGGACAGATTGAAGAGGAAAAAGTACATGGGGGTGTGAAGGTGAGAATTCAGGTAAATTAAATTAATTAAGCTCAAATTGCCCACGACAGTGACCACATAGTTCACCAAAAACAGAAAAAATAGAGGTAGCTGGAGTTCAGGTTGGTCTGTTAATCCCGTAAGGATAAACTCAGTTACAGAGGAGTCATTCTTCACAGCCATTCACTTCACAGGTATGATCTGCAGGAACAGAGGTAGAAGGTAGCATTAACAATGGACCCTCACTCTTTGTCTCCAGAGGGAGAGAATGATCTGCTGGTTTACAATGCACAGGGTTGTCATGCAAGGAATCCAAGGAACAAGACTTCTGATTATTCCTAATGATTCCTCATTTTCTCCTTTACTCCCACTCATGCAGTTTGTGCAGAAAGAATGCTGATCTCAAGACCCCCAATGTCTCTGCATGTCATTTCCTCCCTTCTCCCCAGTTTCCATTCAGGATTACGGATGACAAGAATAATAAATTAATAAATTGGTAGTGTTACCCTCATTTTCCTTTTCCTGGAGGCCTCACTCTGCTAGACCTTAAAGCCACTTCTACTCTACAGTCCTGGGGTGTCAAAGTGTCTGTCAAGAGAGGAGACAGTATACATCAGCACAGCCCTCAGTCTTTGACATGCTAAAAGAGGTATTCTGGAGAACAGGCCATGATCTGTACTTGAGAATTTGCCCAGAAGTCCTCTTCACTTGAAAGGAAGAAAACAACCTTATATGAGCTCCAAAACAATCAGGTGACTCCAATGGGAATCTATTCCATGACCTGTAGTTCTAAGAAAATTGATTCGTAGCACAGAAAATTATTCTCTCCCTCATTATTTCCTTCCAAGTTAAATGAGTCCACTGAGGGTAGAAATTATTGGACCCATATTCATATCCTGTGTCAGAGGCCCAACACTGGATCCTTTGAGACTCAATGTTTTGCTCAGTTTATAATTTCACAATAGGAATTCCTAATCCCCAGTGCAAAGGAATGAGTGCCTCCCTTTGTCACTTCCTTCCTCACCCCCTGGAATCTATGCACAGTTCTAAGAGGAAAGTCTGGGGCACAGTCACTTGCCCTTTCTAGCACTTACCTGAAGTCTCTGGGGTTGCGTTAGTAAAACTAAATCATAGCTTTAGCATTGCCCATGCTTGTGGATTTCACGTCTATAAAGGGATGTTTTAGCAAAGTGGTTAGAGTGGGAGTGTTACAGATGCCTGGGTGGCTCAATTGGTTAAGGAACTGCCTACAGTTCAGGTCATGATCCTGGAGTCTTGGGATGAGTCCCACATCAGGCTCCCTGTTCAGCGGGGAGTCTGCCTCTCCCTCTGACATTCTCCCTTCTCATACTCTCTCTCACTCTCTCTCTTTCTCTCTCTCAAATAAATAAATAAAATCTTAAAAAAAAAAAAGAAGAGTGGGAGTGTTGGAGCTGGGCTTGATGGGTGATGGGTATTAAGGAGGGCACTTTGATATGATGAGTTCAGGGTGTTGTATGTGCGTGATGAATCACTGAATTCTACTCCTGAAATCAATAAAGTTTAAATAAAAATTTGAAAAGAAAAAATAATAATAAATAAATAAATAAATAAATAATAAAAAGAAAGAGAGAGAGAGTGGGCCCTCAAGTCAAATCTGGACTTGAAAATCCTTAATTGTGAGACTGAAGACAGTGATATAACTTCTCTGGCCCTTGTATGTATATTTTCATATCTATTTAATACCTATGTACAGATACAAATGAGTTTTAAAGGAGAAATTTCATAGGGTTGTTGTGGGGATTAAAGGAGTTAAATCATATAAAGTATTGGAAACATGCCCAACACATAAAAAGAGCCTAAGTGTTGGTATCCCTCCCCTATTTCCAATCCATATTCATTATATCAAGATTTTTTCAACCTTGGCACTATTGACATTTTGGACTAGATAATTCCTTTTTGGGGGGGGGGCGACTAGATAATTCTTCATTGTGAAGCTGTCCTGTGTATCCTAAGAAGAAAGCATCCCTGGCCTCTACCCATTAGATTCCAGTAGTATCCACCACCACCACGTGTGGTAATCAAAATGTCCTTCAGACACTGGCATATATCCCTTAGGTGGTAAAATCACTCATTTTGAGAACTGCCAATCCGTATGTAGATCCATAGCTACATGTAGGTGGACTTCCATAAATGCCTCTCAAAAAGGTCTATCTTATGTGCCTCTGCCTCAAAGTGCTCAAAACTAAAGTCAGCACATTTTTTACATCATCCAGGCAACTAATCTACAAACTAATCTTAATGCAACTTCCTCTCACTGGCCGTCTTCATCTAGTCTCCAATTCCCAGAGAATCCAACTCCTTGAAATATTTGGCTTTCCCTCTTATACAGCTTCTATATCCTCTCTTCATCTCTAATTTAGATTACTCTAATAGTTTCTAACCAGTACTCCTACTAAGATGAGAATTTGTAACTTTTTCTACCCTGTACCATCACTGTACAAACATGCACACTCTCTTCTTGCTCTCTATTCCTAATTCCTACTGTTACATCGTTATAATAGTAAAGTAGGTGAGTTAATGCCACTTTTAATCCCTTTTTTGTCATGTTGGTGAGTTTCAAGAAGAAATAGAGACAAGTTGCTTATCTTAGTCTTCCATCTTTAACCAGAGTCCTCCACTGCAATTCTAGGATGAAACCTAGAAGCATACTAAGTCCAGAGGAACCTGGAGTCTGGAATGTAATATTCCAGGTCCTGAGAATCCTATTCTACCCAAAGTAGATGGTGCATGAGGGCTAACACTCCATAAATAGACTCTCTTTAGAGATTTTCCTGATTCACTACATTTAATGAACAATTTTTGAGCATCTAGACTGTAAGAGTGAACACACACAAAATGAGGTACAGGTCTTGACCCAATGATTTCTCAATATAGCCAAGGAAACTGAAATTTGTACCACTCTTAGTTATTGTTAGCTGGTCACTGTGCTAGATTCTCTATTCACCTTCCCTTATGTCCTCCTCATGCCCACCCTCTAAATCAGGCAAGAAGGGGTTCATCGATTGCTCCATGGTCAAGACAGCAAGTGCCAGAGCAACATTAATATTTAAGTGTCTATGAACCCAGAACTGATTTCTTTTACCATTACACTATGCAGAATTGTGTGGTATATGTGGAATATTTTATAGAGGGTGCATTAAGAATCCTTCAAGTTAAGTGACAGAAATTCAAGCTGGATCTGTCTAGATAAGCCAGCCTATACCACAAAAGTGTGTAAAGCTGCTAAGCTGAGGATGTACATGGTTCCTTGTATAGCTGTATAGGACTAAGTCATTCGTGTGCATGTCTCGCTTCCCCCTTTTTGTTCTTCTTGGTTCTATTTAGTTTTTTTTTTTTTAATTTCTTTTCAGCGTAACAGTATTCATTGTTTTTGCACCACACCCAGTGCTCCATGCAATACGTGCCCTCCTTAATACCTACCACCTGGCTCCCCCAACCTGCCACCCCCCGCCCCTTCAAAACCCTCAGGTTGTTTTTCAGAGTCCATGGTCTCTCATGGTTCTATTCAGTTTTAATCCCAGATGAGTTGTCCCCATGTAGCAAAAAGAGAACCATCAAAATCCCTACATTTAATCTTACCAACTCAGTAACTCTAGGGAGAAAAGAAAAGTTTAAAAAAAAAAACAGTTATGGTAGAAAAGAGAAGTTAAATGTCTACTTCTGACTAAATCACTGCCGTCAAGGTTTGGAATGTGCTGATAGGCAAGACAATGTCTCCTAAAGTGAACAAATCAATCCATCAAAATCACATAAAATGTGGTACCTGTAATAGGCAAGGTACAGTCAGAAAAACAAATGGTATAATATGTGCTTCTTATGAAGTATATTTAAAACAAAGAATTGGTTTATTCAGATATTGCAAGGTGGAAAGACAAAAACATTGAAAAATATAAAGACTATTAAACTACATAAAATAGCTACCACACTCATAACTGGTAGAACACATGGAAAGAGGAAGCATGATCAGATTCTAGAATCTCAGATTAGAATTAGGATTAGTGCTTGGAGGAATGGAGGGTTTGAAAGTGCTTGGACGTCTGAAGTAGAGGTTCCCCCAGTGCTGGGTCCAACATGGACGGAGACCAATGAGGAGGTCAATAAGTGCTTGAGCCTCTCAAGGGGCAGAGACCATGCAATGAAGGAAGGGAGGACAGTACAGCTGCCCAGGGAGTGTTGTCCAGCTACTGACTATGCATCTAAGGAGGTGCAGAAAGTTAAACACATTTCCATGTGTTTATTGGCCATTTGTGTGCCTTCCTTTGGGACTTTGGGCTTTCAAATCATTTGCCCATTTATGAAATGGTCTTTCATTATTGAGGTATCTTTTAATTTTTAACTTGTTATATGTAAGGGTTACAACACCTTTATCAGAGACTCAGATACAGGTATGCAAATATTCTTCAAATCTGTGGCTTGCCTATGAATTTTTTTGGTAAACTGATGCTCTAATATTAATGAAGTTTATTTTGTCTTTGTTTTTTTTTTCTTTTGAGTTTAGTGCTTTCTAGAATAAGTCTAAGAAATCTATGTCTACACCAACATACTTTCTTATGTTTTCTTCTAGAAGATTTATGTTTAACCTTTACATGTATAGTCTGATCCATTTAAAATTAATCATTGTATATGGTGTGAGGTAGAGATCACTTCATTGTTTTCTCAAGAACAGAATTTCCAGAATCAATTGCTTAAAATATTTTCCTATCCCTATGGATTTACTCTGTTGCCTGGTAAAAAATCAATTGACTATATAAGTAAGGATCTCTTTCTGAACCTTCTGTGCTGTACCATGACTTATTTATCTATCTTTAAAACAAAACTGATCTTTCTTCATTATCAAAGCCTAAATTTAAGTGTTAAAATCAGTTAGTGTAAACCTTCTGTGTCATCTAGAGGTCCCCAAGGAGCAGATGCCAAGAAATAATTAGACTTCCAAGGCATTTATTGTGGCAAATAGCTGTGAAGGATAAAATGGGAGGGAGAGGGAGTCAGTGATAAAGATCTTCAAACTGGGTTGAAACTCTGACACCTAAGAAAGAAGAGAGAGAATGAAAGACATGGTAGGAAAATCTCAGACTACAGTGCATTTCCAGAATATCTCTGTTAGGATGACTGGAAGTACCTAAACAAAGAATGCCTATCAGAAGACACCTATGTTACACAGCTATTGGCCAGCCCCTCTATGACCCATCATACTAAGTCATTGGCTGGGGACATCTCAGAGTGAACATGGACTCTGCCTGAACACAACAGTGAATCCAAAGGAGTATAAGCTATAGACTATCAGTCAACAATGCTTCCCACAGCTGGTTCTCTTGAAGAGTTGAGCAGCACCTCCTTATGACTGCCACAGTCCACTCCCACAAACAAATTATACCCCAAAGTTCTTTCTGATTTATTATTGTTATTATATTATATTAATTTTATTAATTAATATATATTATGTATTCATTAATATAATTTATTGATTTAGCAATAAACATTATTGTTGTTATTCAAACAAGATAATCCAATTCAACAAGTATTTCTTGTCCTCCCAATATATCTGACATTCTAAATATACAAATGAGAAAAACATTGAGAAACAGGAAAATTATAGGAAACAGTATATACTTTAAATCCTTATTATCTTCTTGGTGAGACAAAGTGCTATGGTCAAATGTTGAAATCCTAACCCGCAAACATATCAGGATGTGGGGCCTTTTGAAGGTGCTTAGGTCATGACAATGGAGTTCTCATGAGGGTGATTTGTGCCTTATTAAAACAGCTCCAGGGGAGCCTGGGTGGCTCAATGGGTTAAAGCCTCTGCCTTCAGCTCAGGTCATGATCTCAAGGTCCTGGAATCGAGCCCCGCATAGGGCTCTCTGCTCAGCAGGGAGCCTGCTTCCTCCTCTCTCTCTCTCTGCCTGCCTCTCTGCCTACTTGTGATTTCTGTCAAATAAATAAATAAAATCTTTAAAAAATAAAAATAAAAAATAAAAATAATTAAAATAAAATAAAATAAAAACAGCTCCATATAGATCACTAGTGCCTTCCACTATGTGAGGATATAATGACAGGTGTGTGACTTAAAAGAGTACCCTCAGCCATTCGTACTGGCATCCTGATCTTGGACTTACAGCCTCCAGAACTGTGAGAAATAAATTTCCATTGTTTATTAGCCACCAATTCTGTAGTATTTTGTTATAACAGTCCAAATGGACTAAGACACAGACTTAAGTAAGCTCACAAAATGTTGCTAGGAATAGTTTATTATCATTAGTATATACCCTTTTTTCATTATAAACATCATTAAAAAGGTAAAATAATGTCTAACATGTTTCTCCCAATATGTATTATTTTCTTTTAAGTGATAAATAACAGACTACAGTGAGAACTTTAGGCTCTTTTTCAAAATATCTGATATACCAGTCATCCCCTATATTTGGATCCTGAGATACATATGTATTATTTCTGTAGTCATACTATGTTAATACTATTTTTGGCAATAAAAGGTGGAGTCATATGTATTCACTTCGGTATTAAATGAACTGGGCTGACTGAAGTTCCCAAACGCAGGTGCTGTGTAATACACATTTGACCATTTTCAAAGGGAACAAGAAAGAACAGAATAATCAAAAGAAAAGTTAGTAAAAAAATAGAACAAAATGAAAAGACCAAAAGGATTTGATTATACTTTAAGCTATATACGTAGTTTGTAATGAACACATCTCATAGAAGCCTGTTGCCTATACCAGTGACAATATGGAAAAGAAAAAGAATGTTTCTAAAGTAATTCACACTTCTGGGTTTAGGTGAGCAAGCTGTAATTTCAACTTTCTGACACTTGGGAATTTTATCAGATTTGTCCAGGTTAGGAATAGCCCAGAGACAGAAACAGTATGGAAAAAAAAATCTGTATACTTGTTCTTTTTATAAAGATGTTATTAGTTATTAGTTATTAGTTATTTAGTAAACTATTATCAGGTGCAGGAATATGGAAGCAAAAAATGAGATAACATAGGGAAATGACATAAGGGAAATGATAAGATGAATCTATTAAAACACAGATAACACAATCTGCATAAATATTGATAATGATCAAAACCTCTTCCTGAAAAATACTAACAAAAATTTTTAAAAATCAAATTCCTTTACACTATGCCTTGTAATTACAGCATGTTTCTTCTCCATATTTTAATCAGGGTGTTCTGCAGTGTAACCTTGATATCCTTGTTCCTCAAACTGTAGATCAGAGGATTGAGCATGGGTACCACATTAGTATAGAAAACTGAAGAAATTTTTCCCAGGTCCATAGATTCAGGAGAATATTTAAGATACATGAATGCTGCTGACCCAAAAAAAAAGAGAAAGAGCAATGATGTGAGAGCTGCAAGTACTGAAGGCTTTTGATCGTCCTTGAGCAGATCTGATATGAAGAATGCTAGTGAGGATAAAGACATAAGAAATCAGGATGGTAAAACTGGGTACTGTGATATTAATTCCCACGACTATCAAAACTACCACCTCATTGACATAGGTGCTAGTGCAAGAGAGTTGGAGAAGAGGAAGAATGTCACACAGGTAATGGTTGATGATATTGACATGGCAGAAGGTCAGTCTAAGCATGCAGCCTGTGTGAGCAGAGGCTCCAGCAAATCCCATCATGTATGCAGCAACAGTTAGCAAGCAACAGACCTGATGGGACATGGTGACCCTATACAGCAATGGATGACAGATGGCCACATAGCGGTCATAGGCCATTGAGGTCAACATGTAGCATTCTGAGATGACAAAAAAGAGAAAGAAAAACAGCTGTGTCATGTACCCGTCATAGGAGATGATGTTCTCCATTGATTCAAAGTTCATCAGCATCTTGGGGGTGAAAACAGAAGAGTAACAGAGATCAATGAAGGATAGGTTGAAGAGGAAGTAGTACATGGGGGTGTGGAGGTGAGAGTTGAGACCGATGAGAATGATCAAGCCAAGGTTGCCCACTACAGTGACAATGTAGATCATCAGAAACAGGAAAAAGAGGGGTTGCTGGAGCTCTGGGCGGTCTGTTAATCCAGCAAGAAGAAATTCAGTCACTGAGGAGTCATTTCTAACCAATATTGTCCTCTTTGGAAATCTGTGAGGACAGAAGAAAGTCCCGTTAATAGAAACCCCAGCTTTCTACCCCTCCGTACACACTCTTAATTATGAGAAGAAGACTCAGACCAGCATAAGTCCTCCTTCACTCCACAGGGTCAGAGTGGACTGGCACATACACCTTTCAACATTAAAACCACTCTGTCTTGTTGCATGACCAGCACGTGACAAACAACTGCTCCCGTCTTTACTAGAAGATACAGGGATGGAGCAGTTGAGGATAAAGGCTACCTGTTGGTGAGCTTTGGTAGTGGGGAGCTATCCCCATCTCTGCTTCCCACTCATCCTATCCTTCACTTCCTAATTCCTACTCATGTTTCCATTACCCTACCAAATACGTCAGTGCCCCCATGATGACTATCAAAAAAGAGAAAAATCTGCTAGGGTAGCAACCATCCAGATGTTTTGCTTCCTAGAAGGAAGTGTCTCAGAGGATTTCCAAATCCTTTACTACAAGAATCCACAAAGTCAATTACTGATAACACTTATTGAGGAGACCCTTGGTAGCCTAAGATTTGTAGTTAACTAGACTCTGGGTGCTTCTACACATTCACTTCCTTTGTTCCATCCTAGCTGGAAAGATGATGAACAAAGCAAAGTAGATGAGTTTCCTTTGCTTTGTAGGAGGGCATGAAATATTTGAATGTTGATTAAATTAGTAACATTTGTAGAAATATATCAAGCTGTATACTGATTATGACATGTAAACTTTTCCATATCTATAGTATATTTCAGCAAAAAAATATTTCTAGGGAAAAAAAAAAACAAAACTTTTCTTCCTCCGATGTGCCTATTTTCTGACCATGTCACTTGAAGCTGCTGTAGGTCTCCTGCTACCAAACTGAGGATGATCCCAACACCAGAAGGGTGTGCTGAGAATAATGCAGTCAGTAAGGTCAGAGTTGCATATTTGAGTTTCTTGTTATTAAAAATAAATACTTTTCACCATTTTTCAGCAACAGAGTGAGAGAAAAATAGAAACTTGCATAACTCGCTTTCCTTCCATTGTGAGAACTCAGTGTAGAGTCTTTGTGAGTTTCACCTCCACTGTCCTGTAGGAACTGGCTTTTATAATATCAAAACTAAGCAGATACAGTCACAGGATCTTCTTCATTTATAGGCAAAAGAGCAATAGCATAGATCTCCCAGACTGAATATTCCAGGAGTTGGTCTGAAGAGTAGATCAAACTTCTAGTTGTAAATTTACTAAGAGAGTTCGAAGGGAAACCACGGAGCTGACATCAGACGTACCATGTCATAGAGAACAAGGCTTTTGCATAAGGCTTATAATTCTTTTGGACCTCATTAGAAATCTAGGTATAGGTCTCCCCTAAGATCTTCCTATCATGATATATTCTATAGGGAAGAAATTGATGTCTGAGTTTACACCCTAATTGTGACAGTAAATGCTAATTTCCCATCAGGGATTATATATTCCCCAGGTTTTACAAGAAAGGACCCTCTGCTGTCCCTTATAAAGATGCAGATAAATAGAATCTAAAAAATGTCACTAATTATCTTTCTAGGTAACACATTTGTTTTAGCCAGAATTTGTGAACTGAACAGTAAAGTTTATTTATTATGCTCTTTTTAATATTTTGAGAACCTTCAAATAATCATTGTTTATGCATATTTTATAGGCATATAGTGAAAGGATATTTTTAATTGTGTTTGCAGATAATTGTTTAATGAGAAGTTATTTGATAGACTAAGAATCCGTTATCCCATGAAACTGTTCTGACTCAATATGTCTTTGCTTTCAACATTTAAAAGTAAATCTATAAGAAAAGTAAGTGTTAGTAGGCTCCCATTTCAAGAAAATATTACCTTAGAATTTCAGCATATATATTAATTTCTACTTGTGCTTGTGAGAAGGCATCTAAATTTTTCTTAAATGAGTATAGATTCACAGGTAATTGTAAAAATAATATACGGATTCCCTTGAACTCCATCCAGATTCCTATCACAGTGACATCTTCAACAACTGTAGTATAAAAGCAAAACCAGGAAACTGACTTCGGTACAATAACTAGACTTTAGGGCTGCAGATGTTCTTCAGTTTTCAGTGGTTTTACATGTACTGAGTGTTTCTGGTGTGTGTGTGTGTGTGACTGTGCGTAGATCAATTCAATCTGATCCCTTGTATAGATTCATGTAATGACCATCACAATTAGGATACAGAAGTTCCATTACTTTATTCTACCCCTTTATAGTCACACCAATCCCCCTCCCCTGCATTTATCTTCCAGCAACCACCAACCTGTTCTCCATCTCTACAATTGATGCTTTTAGAGAACAAGAAATGAAATCATATAACATGTAACCTCTGAATTTAGCTTTTTTTTTTTTTTGCTTTGGTGAATATTTGTGGTTTTTTAAAATTATTTAAATTCAATTTAGTTAACATATAGTATATTACTAGTTTCAGGGGTAGAATTTAGTGATTCATCAGTTGCATATAACACCCAGTTCTCATTACACCATGTGCCCTCCTTAAGGCCCATCACCCAGTTACCCCATCCCTTCACTCCCCTCCCCTCCAGCAACCTTGTTTGTTTCCTAGAGTTCACTCTGTCTTATGGTTTGCCTCCCTCTCTGTTTTCATCTTATTTTATTTTTCCTTCCCATCCCCTATGTTCATCTGTTTTGTTTTTTAAATTCCACATATGAGTGAAATCATACTGTGTTTGTCTTTCTCTGACTGACTTATTTGGCTTAGCCTAATACCCTCTAGTTCCATCCATGTTGTTGCAAATGGAAGATTTCATTCTTTCTGATGGTTGAGTAATATTCCATTGTATGTGTGTGTATCGCATCTTCTTTATCCAGTCATCTGTCGATGGACCCCTGAGTTTAGCTTTTTGACTAAGTATGATGCCCCAAAAATAAATTCAATATCCATGGATCTATATTGTTATGGGAGAGAAAGAACAAATGTCCTTTGAGAAGAATTTCAAGAATAACTCCTCTCAAGGACATAGAGCTTAATTCCTCTCCCCTAGACTTAATGACTTGATTCCAAAGGACTGAGTATGGAAAGGGGGAAAACAGTGTATTTTTCTCCCTGACAGACACCACCTTAAGCAATTCACCAAAGTTAACATCACTAGCGATGTCATATTGATATCCAACAGACCATGACAGGCGCCTCACTCTACGTTATTCTTTCTAAAATGTACAACCCAATCTAATAATCAAAAAGCAGCACACAAACCCAAATAAGGGCATTATTCAACATATCTACCTATACTCTTCAAAATCATTATAGTCATTAAAAAAAAGGCAAAGACTGAGAAAATAGAGATCAGGGAAGACTAAGGAGAAATAACAACTAAATGCATTGCAGAATCCTACTAGGATCCAGGAACAGAAAAATTTCATTAGTGAAAAAAATTTCTCACTCTATATTTTTCTCTCTATATATAATCCAGATGTTAGAATTATTTGACAAGAATTTTAATGCAGTAAACATAAAACTGTTTCAATAAGCAATGACAAATATTCTTAAAACAAATTATAAAATAAAATATTTTAACAGGCAGAAAATTTGAAAAGAACCAAATAGGACTCTTGCTCCTGGGAGGGTGGAGATGGTATATTTTCTCTTATTCTTCCTCTTATCACAACTAAAAACCCTGGACATTATATATATAAAACAAACATAAGACATTTCTTAAAGGTAGAGAGGAAGAGATACACTTGTAACAGAACTGGGGACTCACAGTCAGTTCCCTGGATTACTTTTTGCATCCTACATGCCAAATTTGGAGAAGCTGGCAACAAAAAGTTTCAATAAGCACATATATTTTTAAAAATTAAATTGACAAATTGATAAAGACCAGACAAAAGCTACCTCTCTCTAGGCAAAAGACCAGGATAGGGACAACCTAAAAAATTAAAATAATACTTAAAAAAAAAAAAAAACTGGCTCCACTTACACTCATGGTAACAAAGACGGAGTGGGAACCTGTCTACCCTCATGAGGTTACGTTAAGTTGTATCAACAAAACACACACACACACACACACACACACGTGTGTGCATGCACGGAAGTCGTCAGAGGAGGCCTAGTGGAAAGTCAGGACTTCTAATTACCCAGCATCAGTGAGACCACCCTCACCACAGCATCTGTGAAGAATATGTGGGGAGCCAGAATTCCCATTTCCATTCAGTGTATTGAGGGGTTTCCACCTTTGAATGTCAACAAAGGCTGAGAGGGGAACATAAATTTCTAATTCAACCTGCAGTAATAACAATCCCTCCCTTCTCCCACTGGGGCAGTGTTAGGGGAAAACAAAACAAAATGAAACAAAACAAAAAACACAGACTAAAATGAAGATTAAAATAAGATCCAGAGTCTCATAATATAATATGAAAATGGGCAGGTTTCAATCAAAAGTCATTTGTCATACCAAGAACAAAGAAGACTATATACTAAATGAAAAAAGACAATTACAGATGCCAACATTGAGAAGTCAGAGATGTTAGACTTACTTGAAAGTCATGATAAAGATGTTTCAATAAACATTATGAACACACTTGAAACAAATTAAAAAATGCAAAGTCTCAGCTAAGAAACAGAAAATGTCAGCAAAGAAATAAGAGAAACAAAGAAGAACAAAAGGGAAATTTTAGCTCCAATTAGTAACTTTGTGAATGGACTCAACAACAAAATGGACCAGAATCAATGAATTAGAAGGTAGAACAAGAAAGATTACACAATCTGAAGAGCATACAAAAAAGTAACTGGGAAAAAACTGAAGAGAGTCTAAGAGGCCTATAGCACTATAACAAAAAAAAAAAATCCAATATTCATGTCACCACAGTCCTGGAAAGAGAAGAGAAACTGCGCTAAAAGAGTGTTTAATTTGCAGGAAGTTTCCAAATTTCCCAAATTTGGCAAAAGACACAAATGTACAGATTCAAACAGGATTACACCCAAAGAAATCCACACCAAAACACAAAATAGTCAAATTTCTAAAAACCAAAGACAAAAAAGTGTAATAAAAAAGAAACAATACCTTGAATCTTTCAGGTGGACCTGGTGGTCAGTAGCACCATGGCGGGTGTAGTAGATGACTCTGCTGGGGAGGTGAGGGTGGTAAAGGTCCATAGGTCCAAGGTGACCTTTAGCAGGGCCCATGAGGTGGGGAAGCCCCGGGGTGGGGATCATCCCCAGCCATATGGGGCTGAGGTGTGCTGGAGGCCTGGATGGCTACAAGGAGTCATGACCAGGCTGCTCAATGACAGCACTCCTATGCAGGGGGTCCCACATGAGGAGCATATGGCTGCAGCTGTACTGTCTAAGCCGCCAGAGGTCACAGGGGATATAGGAGCACAAGAAGGAAGATGAGGCCCTGAACCAGGAGCAGAGGCCCAAGCACTGGTTCTCCAAGTAGGAGCCAAAATGCAGGAGGAGGTGGCGGCCACCACGCTGCCAGAGCACAAGCAGCAGAAGCTGTAACACATCTTCAGAAACTCAGTCACCACCATCGCCCAGCTCTACAAAGACTGAATGTGTCAGCAGCCAGGACTTTCTTTCTGGGTCCCCTTCCAACACAGCCACCGCCATCACCAGTCTCTACAAAGAAGCATGGAGACCCATCAGTGAAATTTTGACATTGGAATTCAGATTGGTTCTCAGCTATGCAATAGGGATGCATTGGCTTGGGTTAAAAATCTCAGAATTATTGGTAGAGATTTCATCAACTTCCTGTGTGGAAGAATTCCCCCACCACAAAACTCTAGAGCCCCCCCCACACCCAAGACTGACTACAGTCCTCTAACGTAGCTACTTCAACAGAAACTATCTCATCAGTACAGTCTGATTACCCTTCTGGAAGCCATAGTTCTGAGTTGTAAAAACTTTTTCAACACATTTCTGTGGAAAAGTGGTGAAGAGTGTCCCTGTGGACCCAATTTCACATTTAGGTTAAGGTCCAGGTAGACATTGTCTGCTTTTTGTCCATTATACTATGTGTTCAGGACTTCCCACAAAGGGGATAGAAATAGACAAAAAATTCCCAAAGATACTCACGTAGGTGTTTGGATAAACTATGGTGTTACTATAAACACAGAGAACTCAGGAAGAGTACAAATATTTGTAAATGTATACATTCAGTTTTGAACATGGTGGACTTGAGTTGCCAACTGGACATCCAAGTAGAAGTATACAGCCTAATGAAAGCTAACTAAAGTTCAAGACAAAAGACCAGAATATGAAAAAAAAAAAAAAAAAGATTTGGAGAATTACTTCTCTAAAGGTTAAAGCCATAACATTATGTGAACTCAATCAGAGAGAGGGTAAAGAGAAAAAGAGCAGAGGTCAAGAAAAATATTTGGGAAATCCCCCATATGGGTTTTATACTTAGGATAATTTAAAACCCAACCATTACTAAAATGGGTTCCAATTATTATATTCAGACTCCTCAAAATTACAAGGGAACTAAACATTCCTCGTGACAAATTTGAAATATATCCCACAAGACAGACATTCCTTGGGTTGCAGCAATGATGAGGACCTTGGAGATTCATTAAATATTGTGTTTTCTATGGAAATGCTAAGAACTCTTATTCAGGTGATGTAAGAACAAGAAACACTCCTTCTAAGTTCATATTATATCAAATCATATTGCAAGAAGAGTTTTATGCTAAGGTTCTAACCTAGAATTGAAAGTCATTCTTTCACCTTTAATATAACCAGTGTTAATAGTGCAAATACAGAATGAGAGTAGAGAGTCCCTGAGTTTATCCTTACATTGCAAAACTATTTCATTCATTTCCTTTGTTCCATCTACATAAATGTCACCTTAGCCTAATTTAATTATAACAAAGTATATCAAATAATCACCCTTTTCATGAGATATACCAAACCATCTCTTGACTCCTTTTTAAGCAACTCAAGCCCTGTATGTTCTAATTTTTCAAATTCAGTGGTAATTTAAGCCTTATAGTGCATTATCATACAGAAGAGGAAAACTTATTTGTAACTGAATAGATTCTTAATTTGCAGGATTATGTCACACTGAACTAACCTGCTATAACATCCAGAAACATTAGTTAATATATTTTTTAACGTAAATACCAGAGGTAGTAAAAAGAAAATTAAATCTTCAAGTTCCAAGAGGGAAAAGGGAAAACAGAATCTAATTCAGTAAATCTGGAGTGGGGTACTTGGTTTTGAGTCTGATAACCTCCCAGCTAATGCAGAAGCTGCTGTTCAGTTGACCAAATTTTGAGGAGAAAAACCTTAGGACATTATTCAGTGTTTAGAATGTGGCAGGTGTCTGCAACTACCACAGTTTATTCACAGGTGAATGCCCTTTTTAGTATAGACAGAACAACATGTTCTGGGTCTCAATAAAGGTGCATGGCTTTCAGAAAAGGGGAAAAAAAAGAAAAAATTCAAGCCTACTTTAACAAAAGAAAGGGCGATGGAGAAGGTGTAAGAGATTTGGGGAAGGGGTCAGTTAAATGCCAAATGATCTGAGCAGATACTCCCTAGACAGACCCTGGCAGTCCAGAATGAAAGCAAATGAATAACTACTACATCTATGTGAAAAGAATAAATACCAAATATGATTTTTTTAAATTTTTTTATAAACATATATTTTTTCCCCAGGGGTACAGGTCTGTGAATCACCAGGTTTACACACTTCACAGCACTCACCATAGCACATACCCTCCCCAATGTCCATAATCCCACCCCCACGACCCCCTCCCCCCTGCAACCCTCTGTTTGTTTTGTGAGATTAAGAGTCACTTATGGTTTATCTCCCTCCCAATCCCATCTTGCTTCATTTACTCTTCTCCTACCCCTTTAACCCCCCATGTTGCATCTCCTCTACCTCATATCAGGGAGATCATATGATAGTTGTCTTTCTCCGATTGACTTATTTTGCTAAGCATGATATTCTCTAGTTCCATCCACGTCGTCGCAAATGGCAAGATTTCATTTCTTTTGATGGCTGCATAGTATTCCATTGTGTATATATACCACCTCTTCTTTATCCATTCGTCTGTTGATGGACATCTAGGTTCTTTCCATAGTTTGGCTATTGTAGACATTGCTGCTATAAACATTCGGGTGCACGTGCCCCTTCGGATCACTACGTTTGTATCTTTAGGGTAAATACCCAGCAGTGCAATTGCTGGGTCATAGGGTAGTTCTATTTTCAACATTTTAAGGAACCTTCATGCTGTTTTCCAGAGTGGTTGCACCAGCTTGCATTCCCACCAACAGTGTAGGAGGGTTCCCCTTTCTCCGCATCCTCGCCAGCATCTGTCATTTCCAGACTTGTTAATTTTAGCCATTCTGACTGGTGTGAGGTGGTATCTCATTGTGGTTTTGATTTGTATTTCCCTGATGCCGAGTGATATGGAGCACTTTTTCATGTGTCTGTTGGCCATCTGGATGTCTTCTTTGCAGAAATGTCTGTTCATGTCTTCTGCCCATTTCTTGATTGGATTATTTGTTCTTTGGGTGTTGAGTTTGCTAAGTTCTTTACAGATTCTGGACACTAGCCCTTTATCTGATATGTCATTTGAAAATATCTTCTCCCATTCTGTCAGTTGTCTTTTGGTTTTGTTAACTGTTTCCTTTGCTGTGCAAAAGCTTTTGAACTTGATAAAATCCCAATAGTTCATTTTTGCCCTTGCTTCCCTTGCCTTTGGCGATGTTCCTAGGAAGATGTTGCTGAGGCTGAGGTCGAAGAGGTTGCTGCCTGTGTTCTCCTCAAGGATTTTGATGGATTCCTTTCTCACATTGAGGTCCTTCACCCATTTTGAGCCTATTTCCGTGTGTGGTGTAAGGAAATGATCCAATTTCATTTTTCTGCATGTGGCTGTCCAGTTTTCCCAACACCATTTATTGAAGAGGGTGTCTTTTTTCCATTGGACATTCTTTCCTGCTTTGTCGAAGATTAGTTGACCATAGAGTCGAGGGTCTATTTCTGGGCTCTCTATTCTGTTCCATTGATCTATGTGTCTGTTTTTGTGCCAGTACCATGCTGTCTTGATGATGACAGCTTTGTAATAGAGCTTGAAGTCCGGAATTGTGATGCCCACCAACTTTGGCTTTCTTTTTCAATATTCCTTTGGCTATTCGCAGTCTCTTCTGGTTCCATATAAATTTTAGGATTATTTGTTCCATTTCTTTGAAAAAAATGGATGGTACTTTGATAGGAATTGCATTAAATGTGTAGATTGCTTTAGGTAGCATAGACATTTTCACAATATTTATTCTTCCAATCCAGGAGCATGGAACATTTTTCCATTTCTTTGTGTCTTCCTCAATTTCTTTCATGAGTACTTTATAGTTTTCTGTGTATAGATTCTTAGTCTCTTTGGTTAGGTTTATTCCTAGGTATCTTATAGTTTTTGGGTGCAATTGTAAATGGGATTGACTCCTTAATTTCTCTTTCTTCTGTCTTGTTACAAATGTTTGGTAGAATTCCCCTGGGAAGCCATCCGTCCCTGGGCTTTTGTTTGTTTGGAGATTTTTGATGACTGTTTCAATCTCCTTACTGGTTATGGGTCTGTTCAGGCTTTCTATTTCTTCCTGGTTCAGTTCTGGTAGTTTATATGTATCTATGAATGCATCCATTTCTTCCAGATTGTCAAATTTGTTGGCATAGAGTTGCTCATAATATGTTCTTATAATTGTCTGTATTTCTTTGGTGTTAGTTGTGATCTCTCCTCTTTCATTCATGATTTTATTTATTTGGGTCCTTTCTCTTTTCTTTTTGATAAGTCTGGCCAGGGGTTTATCAATCTTATTAATTCTTTCAAAGAACCAGCTCCTAGTTTCGCTGATTTGTTCTATTGTTTTTTTGGTTTCTATTTCATTGATTTCTGCTGTGATCTTTATGATTTCTCTTCTCCAGCTGGGTTTAGGGTTTCTTTCTTGTTCTTTCTCCAGCTCCTTTAGGTGTAGGGTTAGGTTGTGTACCTGAGACCTTTCTTGCTTCTTGAGAAAGGCTTGTACCGCTATATATTTTCCTCTCAGGACTGCCTTTGTTGTGTCCCACAGATTTTGAACCATTGTATTTTCATTATCATTTGTTTCCATGACTTTTTTCAATTCTTCTTTAATTTCCTGGTTGATCCATTCATTCTTTAGAAGGATGCTGTTTAGTCGCCATGTATTTGGGTTCTTTCCAAATTTCCTCTTGTGATTGAGTTCTAGCTTCAGAGCATTGTGGTCTGAAAATATGCAGGGAATGATCCCAATCTTTTGATACTGCTTGAGACCTGCTTTAGGACCGAGGATGTGATCGATTCTGGAGAATGTTCCATGTGCACTAGAGAAGAATGTGTATTCTGTTGCTTTGGGATGAAATGTTCTGAATATATCTGTGATGTCCATCTGGTCCAGTGTGTCATTTAAGGCCTTTATTTCCTTGTTGATCTTTTGCTTGGATGATCTGTCCATTTCAGTGAGGGGAGTGTTAAAGTCCCCTACTATTATTGTATTATTGTTGATGTGTTTCTTTGATTTTGTTATTAATTGGTTTATATAGTTGGCTGCTCCCACGTTAGGGGCATAGATATTGACAATTGTTAGATCTTCTTGTTGGACAG